GGCTCAATGCTAATCACAAAACATGTCACTTCTTTTTCCACATCTCCTATGTAAAGATTTTTAAAAAGAAGGTCAATGTTATTCAGTGGAACTGACCTCCATATGGAGAATTTAATTTTAATTCTCTTACAGATTTTATGAAAATCATGAAGAATGTCATTTTTACTTGATTTTTATTGCATTGCAATGAAGTACTTCTTAACTTTTAATAGAAACAAAGAGGACAAAATGTGTAAATTATGAGTGAGTTAATTCTATAGAAATAGTCCTCTTGAAGAGAAAACTACTAGTTTAATTCAGGGAAAAGTCCTTCTTTCAATATTTTTCAATTATAATCGACATGTACAAATGGCCAGGGTAGTGACCAATGCTCATTTTTAGATAGTTCAAGTATGAACTATGTATATATAGTCAGTTACAATAATGAGAAAATACCTATTGCATAGTCTTATCAAATTTTAATATTTTATCATGCATGATTTAAAACACTATTTTAAGTAATATATAAAATTTCTTTTTTTCTCTAAAGATAACTCTTTTCCTGAAACCAACATTTAACAATTTTATATATGCATTTTACTGTTCTGAAATAATTATGTGTTTGTGAACAACATGTAATATTATTTTGCATGCCATATTTAGTCTATATTATCAAACTGTGTATATAATTCTAGAACTAGTTCTTCTCTGCAGCATTATTTTTATCTGATTTATATACAGCACATAGAGTTATTGTTCATGCATTTTAATTTCTCTATGGTATCCCAGTACATAAATATAGAACAATTGATTATACATCCTTTATGCATATTTAGATTGCTGCCTAGATTTTCAGCATCACAAACAATACTGTAATGATTAATCTTTTATATATCTCCTTGTGCATAAATGTGAGAATTATCCTAGAATTTATATCTGAATGTGTGATTTCTGGTTGAAAGTTACAAAAGTATCTTAAAATTATTATGTGTTGTCAAATCATTCTTCAAAAAGTCTGTATTTGTTACAAATCCCAAAATCTTTACAAGAGAATTTCCCTTGCTCTGTATCTATGAAAATGTTTTCACTGATACGCTGATTATTTGCCAGTTTGGAAGGCCGAGTGGTGTACATGTGGGAAAGGGAAATAGTATTCTGTTTTTCTTTAACTTCCATTTTTGATTTCTCATGACATTGAACATCTCTGAATGTGGTAATTGGCATTAGGTTTTCTCGATTGTAATTGCTTTAGTCACATAGTTTGCCCATTTTTTAACCAATTTTTTCCTTTATACTGGTTTGAGTTGCAAGTATCTTCTTTTTTTGGAGGGGTAAGGATGTACAAGGGTTTGAACTCAGGGCCTTGTCCTTCCTAGGCAAGGGCTCTACCACTTGGGCCATGCCTCCAGCCCTTTTTGCTTTAGGTTATTTTTCAGATAGGGTCTCATGCATTTTGCCCAGGCCAGCCTTGGACTGCAATTCTCCTACCTATGTCTACTACGTAGCAGGGATGACAGTCATGTACCACAAAATCTAGTTTTGCTTGTTTTAGCTGAGGCTGACATCAAACCATGATCCTCTTGATATCTACCTCCTGAACAGCTGGAATTACAGGTGAGAACTGCTGCACTTGACCTTCAAGTTGCAAATATCTTTTCTGTTTGTGTTTTGTCTTTTGTCTGTTTGTGATCTTTGTTGGAACAGAAAATATGTCAGATTTAACAACTTTTTGCTCTTTGTGTCTTTTGGAATCTGTCTTCAGATAAGGAATTTTGTTAGCATTCCTTATCTGAAGTCATAAATATATTTTCCATATGTTTTTCAAAATGTTTTAAAGATCTACTAGTTAGGATTTACATCTTTTATCTATCTGGAATTTACTTTTATTGTGATGTGAGATATGACTAATTGTATTCTTTTCCATAAATGTTATTGACTAGTCATGCCATTTTTAAAATTTGTGTAAGTCTATTTCAGTATGCTCTCTCTTCTATTACATTGTTTATCCTTTTACCTATGCCAGACTGTATGACTGCAGACTGATAAAAAAATCTAGATTTACAATAGGATAGACTTAGAATCTGAGGCAAGGTCCTACCCATGGCACTTATCTACTCTTGGAAATCTGCTCTTCATTTTATGATAAATTTACCTGTTTACTCCAAAGAAAAAGTTTTAGAATTTTGAAAGAACTTGCATTTGATTTGTAGTCTAATTTAGACATAAATAATATCTTTAAAATGTTGCATTGTTATAACCATGAATATTTATTTCATTTGCTTTACTCATGTCTTCTTTTGCTGTCTGACTTCTTTTTGTAGGGTAGCATTCATTATATGAATGCCCTGTTGTTTATTTATCCATTCTATTGATCATTGACAGTAAGTTCTGTCTAGTTTTTAGCTATTGAATATTTTCCCTTGGTGGATGGATACATTCATGTTCTCACTAGCAGTAAAAGATATGTTCAGGCACTCTACAACTTCATCAACTTTGACATCATTACTATTTTAAATTTCAGCTGTTCTGGTGGTGTGTTTTTGTATCCCATTTTTTGTCATTGTTTTGTTTGTTTGATTTTTCTCTTGGTGGTACCAGGGTTTGAACTCAGCCTCTACTACTTCAGTCACATCCATAGCCCTTCTTTGTGGCTTTAATTTGTTTTTCTTTGATGACTACTTTCACTGAACACTTCTGCATACCTATATTAGTGATTTTAACATCCTCTTTTGTGAAGTATTTGAAGTATGCATTATTTTAATAAATCTTGGACACAAATCTTTTGACAATTACAAACTTCTGCTCCTATCAGTGGCTGTACTCTTTAGTATATTGAAAAGTGTGATACGATGAACATTTTTTTAACCTATTCGTGATATTTAAAATATCACAAAGATATTCTTTGATACTTTTTCAAGATGATTCACTGGGGACAAGAGTTTTCCTATAGGAAGGTTTTGAATTACAGAATACTTATTCTTAAATAAAAAAGTCTATTTTTTTAATTAGTCAATTTAGTATTTGACATTTTCCAAGAAATTTGTCAATTTTATTCAATTTGTCAACTATATTGGCATGAATTTTTTATAATACTTTCTTATTCAAATATTTTTGACCTGAAGGAATTATAAATGGTGCTGAGGTATTAATTATTTTTAAGAATTTTAGAATGTCAAAATTTTATTTTATTGATTTTTCTTATTTTTAAGAATTTTAGAATGTCAAAATTTGATTTTATTGATTTTTCTTCAGTGTGTGTCTGCTTTAAACTCCATTAATTTCTACCCTTATTTTCATTTTATAATTTTCTTTGGCTATAATTTTCTCTTATTTTTTCCAGCTTCTTGAGTTGGGGGTTTAGATAACCAGTACTTTTCTTCTAATGCATACATTTAAAGCTATAAATTCCCTGTAAACACTGCTCTAGTACATATTATAAATTTTGGCATGTCATAAATTTCAGTACCAAATATTATAAGTTATCATACCATGCAAGGCAGTTTCCATGGTGATTGTGTATCAGACTCATGGATTACTTAGAAGTATGCATCTTGATTAACACACATTTGGAGAATTTATATTTGTCTGTCTGCTGTTGAGTTTGACTTTAATTTCCCATGGTCAAAAAACCTGCATTTTATTTATTTATTTTTTTGTATTGTAACCTTTTTATTCACTAAAAAATATTTTGTAGTTATTTGTCCTTTACAAATGATAGAGATTATTCTATAATGGATATTAGATTATTCCCAGTTTTGTTTCTTTTTTTTTTAATTTTTATTGTTTTATTATTCATATATGCATACAATGCTTGGGTCATTTCTCCTCCCTGCCCCCACCCCATCCTTTACCACCCACTCCGCCCCCTCCCTCTCCCCCCCCACCCCCTCGTTATCCGGCAGAAACTATTTTGCCCTTATCTCTAATTTTGTTGAAGAGAGAGTATACGCAATAATAGGAAGGAACAAGGGTAAAAAACCTGCATTTTAAAATGTCAGTCTTTTGAAAATTTGTTTCCTTAACATCTTATCGATCTTATATTAATGTAACTGTACCATCTTTCTTTTGGTTAGTGTTTGTATAGGTGTGATAAAATACCTGAGGAAATCGACCTGAATGGATAGATATTCTGCCTATTGTTTTGGGCCTGTGATAAGACAGAACATCATGGGGGGAGCACACGGTAGCACAAAGCTGCTTATAGCATGGTGACTCAGAAGCAAAGAAAGCATCTCTCCTCCTCCCTAGATGACCCAATTTCCTTCTACTAGGCCCTACCTCCTATAAGATTTCACTACCTCCTAATAGCACCATCCGCTGAGGACCAGGTGTTTAATACATGAGCCTTTGGGGTCAATGAGGATCCAAACCATATTACATAGTATATATTTTTTCATTCTTTTGCTTTCAGTTTCTCTATGTTTTTTTAATTGTGTCTATTACAAATAGCACATATACATTCTTTATAAACTATAGTTTTATAAAATTATCACTTAATTAGTGTTTACACCCTTCACATTTAATGTAATTACAGGCGGGCGCGGGCTCGCTCGCCGGCCGTCCTGCGGGCGGGCTGGCGGCTGGGGCGTGAGGCCGGCGCCCGCGGCCATGGTTCTACACAGCTGGTCTTAATTCCCACCTTCTGCCTCTCTACCTGTAATTTATGAAACGGAGGCCTTTGAAATACATGTGTCGTGACCACTGTGCCAGCTGGAGCGTATGGATTGATTCATAGAGTCCAAGGTGCTGGGAGGTCCGGTGTCCCACAGTGGTTCCAGAGCACAGCCTGGACTGCAGAGCTCATGACAGGTAACACCTCTGCCCCGGCCATTGTTAGAGTTTTGTGAACTTTTTGCCTGGGCTGGCCTCAAACTGCAATTCTCCAGATGATCTGCTCCAAGAAATCCATTTACCAAAATTAACTCCAGAAGAGAGAACCTGGCAAACCAGTAACAATGGAAGAAATTGGGAGAGCCACCAAAAAGCTGTTGTCCCCCACGGCACCAGGCTCACCTCCTTCATGAAGAAGAAAGATCTCAAGCAACATGATGGATTCAGAAGCTCATGAAAAGAGGTCACCAATCTTAACATCTTCGAAACAAGACCTGTCCCCTCACATTGCACATGTGGGTGAGATGAAGCATTACTTGTGTGGGTGCTGCGCAGCTTTCAACAACATGGCCATCACCTTCCCCATCCAGAAGCTCCTCTTCCGGCAGCAGCTGTATGGCATCAAAACCCGGGATGCAGTTCTTCAGTTGAGGAGTGATGGGTTTCGAAACTTGTATCGTGGAATCCTCCCCCCACTGATGCAGAAGACAACTACCCTGGCCCTCATGTTTGGTCCGTATGAGGATTTATCCTGCCTCCTCCATAAGCATGTTAGTGCTCCATTGCAACCCGTAGCGTGGCTGCGGTGCTTGCAGGGACCACAGAAGCCGTTTTCACTCCATTGGAAAGAGTTCAGACATTGCTTCAAGACCACAGGCATCATGACAAATTCACAAACACTTACCAGGCTTTCAGGGCACTGAAATGCCATGGAGTTAGAGAGTATTATCGAGGCTTGATGCCCATTCTTTTCCGTAATAGGTTCAGCATTGTCTTTTTTTTTGGCCTTCGAGGACCCATCAAGGAGCACCTGCCCACTGCAAGGATTGAACCCAGGGCTTCGTACATCCTAAGCAAGTGCTCTACCACTGAGCAACATCCCCCCACCCCCTTTTTAAGCTCCTGAAGACCAAACTGCAAATACATTACCAGAGATGGTTTTGTGTTGTCCTGTAGACGTCTTAAATTTGACAAAAAAATTCAGAACTGTAGCCAACAGCTTTATCCGAATTTTAGTGTCATGTGTAATTAGTAAGAAATTCTGCTGTTGTTTTTTACCTTCAGTGTAAACTAGTGTGGTAATAATTTTTAAAAGTCAAACATGATTGAATATCTGAATAGCTTTAAAAGTAGCCTTTCTGTTACATATGTGGCACAGGTGGTTCATGAACATAGGACATTTAAGTCTTATGTCCCATGATTCATATCTGATGCCACCAGATATGTGTTACGAGTTCTGAATTTAGCACATTTCTAGTGGCATGAACCCTCAGGACTGCACCACAGAGTAAACACAGCCTTTGTTTGGTATCAAATTTGTATCTGACTTGTTTCATTCGTGTTGGGGACAAAGTTGATGTTTTTGTGTAAATAGTCAATACTCATCTTATGGTTGGTTATATAATCATTTGTTATATATTATGAGCTGTGCAATAAAGCAGAATTGTGTATACATAGTTATCTTTGGATACCTGAAATTCCCAAGCTCAGTTACAGTGGTGATGCTCTGTGTGAGGCCGTGCAAACTTGTAAGGGAGTGATGTAGTGAGCATGATGGGTGCCATGGGACTGAACTAACACTGCTACAGTACCGATGAAGTACTGTAGTGGGAGGGTTGCAAGGCAGATTATGTTGGAAGAAAAAAGGTAAGCACTTGGACTTGGTTTCCTTTATGTTAAGATACTTGCTTTCTCCTGTACAAATAAATGCACATCAGACTTGAACTGCATTCTCTAAATTTAAGGAGTTTTAGTTTTTAATGCTGTCTTTCTGTTTAATAAATATTTGCTTGCCTAAATGGTTCCCAAATTGGGTGGGGGTTCTCTGTATGTTTCCTCTTTTAAAGTTTCATTATTAAAAGTGATTGAGCACAGAAAAAGAAATGTAATTACAGATGCATTTAAGTATATCAGGCTAATTGTGTCCATCTGTGATTTTTTAAAACTCTGTTAGTTTTCTATTGTTGTGTGACAAATTACCACAAACATAGAATCTTAAAACAATGCCCTTTTATTATCTTTCAGTCTTAGAAGGTGAACCTGTAGGTTTGGATTAGCTGATTCTTCTGCTCAGAGTTTGCCAGTCTGGCATCAAGGCATTGGCCAGGCGTGCAATCTCTTCTGAGGCTCTGGACATAGTTGATCTAGATTTTAGATACATTGTGCCTGATACAAGATACAACAAAAAGACTTTCTTAGCTTTGGACAGTGAGGTTAACAATGGGGTTATGAACGGGTCAATCTATCGTTATTAAACATGGAAACCCATATTCTGAAATGGAATTATAAAAGGAAAACCAATGATAAGAAAAGGTGTTGAGATTGAATCTCACATCAGGAGCCTCAGTTGATAATGAGCTTGTGGTAGTGTGGTTAAAAAATTGAAAATATATGGAAAAGGTAAGAAAAATTGCTATAATTATTTTGTTTAATTATTTATCTGGTATTTGTGTGTGGGTGTGCAACTATTCTGAGTCAGGCATCTTTCAGTGATGACCTAACCAAAGTCCCCAACTTGTGTGATAGTTCATTTTCTATGAATGTCATTTTCATGATGCTTGTTATCATTCTTACAAATTAATGAAAGAACAAGAGTTTCAAAGTCAAATAATTTTGCATTATGTAAAGATCAAAAAATTATTTAGTAGTTCTCCAAGCCTTGCATATGCAAATAAATTGGATATAATATGCAGTATTTAGAAATTTATTTTACTTCAGAACTCATATGTGGAGGAATATGTATTATATATTACAAAAGACAATTTGGGGAATGATTAATAAAACTTTAAGTCACATTGAATAAGCAGATTTATAAGCAATATTAAAGGCTGTCTCTATTTGGAACACATTCATTTGTAATGGATCCAATCATGAAAATTATATTATGTTCTTTGGCACAATCCAACAGCCTACCAGCAGGCCTGGAGAAAATGAGTAGCCAATTTGTCTAGGTTTCAAAACTGGCGGTGGTTATAGTGAAATACAGACAGGCAAGGGAATCCTGAAGGTTTGTGAAACAAAGATAAAGCAGTGAGTGAACCATGCATTCCAGGCTGGAAAAGGAGGAGAGTGAAGCCAAAATAATTTTGGATAATAATGAGATGTAGAGAGTGTGGAAGTATAATGCATATTGCTTGCAAATAAGAAAATGTGGAAGAGTAGAGTCAGAGAGCACTTTCAAATTTCAAGATAGTGAAAGTGAAAAACTTCTGGTGATAGAATTGCTTAGGACATAACTGTGGCTTCAATCCTGACGTGAAATGAAGGAAGAGTCCTCAGAAAGGAGAGTGATAGAAGGGGTAAATTCAAGTATGATATATTTGATGCATTGTAAGAACTTTTGTAAATGCTATAATGTACACCCACCCAGCACAACAACAACAAATAAATAAAATAGAACATGCTCCAAACAGGAAAAATAAAAGAGAAAGAAAAGTGGAGTTCAAAGAATTATGAGTCCAGAGCACTGAAGACATCATCATTTTGGAAAATGAAGTTACTTAATCTTCCAGAAATTTATGGAGTAGAAATAAAACTGTGATTCTGGCATACATAATTTATAGTGATTAGACATCTATAGATGAGTAGAAATATTGTTTTAAGAAGTTAATATGTGTTTTTTGAAGAAAGAATTATGGAACCAACATATAAATCTAGTAATTTCGAATAAGACAAAAGGAATAGAAGATGCTCTTGAACTCTGCATAAAGCCAACAAGTTTAATCCAATTATGAGTGGTCTTCATATAGTGTTCCCAAGATAAAGCAATAATTGGTGTGGGCCTTGATTTCAGGGAAACCTTGGCTATATCCCTGACCCTGCTGCTTATTGCATTACGACCTTCTTTAGTACATGATATCTCACAGAATCACAGACTCAATGTTCCCACTTTACATCTTTGAAGAATATTCTAGGAAGCAACAAAATTGTAAAATAACTTTGCATAGTGTCTGTTCTAACATAGGTAAAAGCTTTTTGCTATGAAATTAAAAGCAATATTGTAGAAAGAATATTGAGAATGAAAGAAAGGTTTTATTGATAACAAGTCTGAGATTTCCATGGCACTGTGGAAGGGAGAAGAAAGGTATAAAATAACTACATAAAAAGAAAGGCTGAGTTGAAGAAGGGACTATTGAGCAAAGTTGTAAACTGTGTAGATTATGAGAAACATAATTTGAGATCCAGACTTAGTGGCCAGGGCAGAAATGAGAGAAGAATCTGGATGAAATTAATCCATCCAAAATTTCTACTGAATATGGAAACTTTGAAGTATAAGAGTGCAGTTTAAACATGTGACCAAGGTACAAAATAACAGTTATTATACATTGAGATGATCCACATTACTCCACGAGGTAGATTTTACCATCCTTTTCATTCACATGAGAAAAATAAGAAGGCAAGTGACTTTCATAAAGGCATAGAACTAGCAAGTAGCAGAGCCAATATGCCGTCTTACATTAGATTAGATATCCATATAAACATAAATATACTAGAAATAGATAGATATACACATGCATATATTAGTATATATATGAACATATATATATGATTGTGCATGTATCCATGTGTAAATACAGATATATATATACATATATCTGTATTTATCATCTATCTATAGAAAGAACATTAGAATAGATACAGTAGGAGAATCTTCTCTTTTTAAATATAATTTTAATGTGTGCTAAACAGCAATTTATAGGATTGGACATTTTGGCAAATAATGAGAAAGAAGCATGATAGCTCATAAATACTCTATAAATTCAGTTATTGTGTATATAGCTTATAAGATAAAAACTCAAAGTCTAAAATTTCATTTAAAAAAAAGTGTATACAAACACATTAACATGACAGTAGATTCTGCAAGACATAGAAGTCTGATTTCCAGGTTACAAAACCTTCTAGTATATGGCCATTGATTATAATAGTCAGGGCAAACACAACATGAAGGATAGAATAAAGAAAGTCTCCCTAAAAAAAAAAGTCCAGGACCTGACAAATTCTCCATTGACTGCCACCAGACCTTTAAAGAAGAACTAATATCAAGTAAGCAGATGTATGTTTACCCAGTTCAGAAAGTGTATGCAGCCTATTGCTGCTAAATATTATTAATACTTACCAAAAACAAAGGAGCAAATGTTAGTTCTTGTTATATTTAAACTTCAGCTAGAGGAGTATTCAAAAAGATAAAGGTAAATAAATAAGTGCATATAATCAGACAGATAAGTCTAGTAGCTATGTGGCTACATTGGTTTTATGTTAATTCCATTAAATGTTATTTTACATCACTAAAATAAAACTATGAACAACTTTTTAAAAAACTGAAAAAAGAAAAATAATTAATACCAACACTACTTAAACTTTTCCACAAAATAGAAAGGGAATGAGCACTGCCTCACTCATTCTATGAAGCCAGTATAACACTCATCCTAAAACTGAACAAGGACACAACAAAAAAAGAGAATAACATAAATCTTTTTAAAACATTAACTCTTTAATTAACCTGGATGCAAAAATCCTCAATAAAATAATGGCAACCCAAATTCAAAAGCATATCAATAAGATCACAGACCATGGCCAACTTGGCTTCATCCCAGGGATGCAGGGATGATTCACATACACAAATCATTAAATGTAATACAAAATATTAACAGAAGCAAGGACAAAAACGCCTTTGTCATCTCAATAGATGCAGAAAAAGTCTTTGATAAAATTCAACATCTTTTCATGAAAAAAGCTCTGATGAAACTGGTAATAGAAAGAATGTACCTCAACATAATAAAGGCAGTATATGACAAACCTATAGCCAACATCATACTACCTGAGGAAAAGCTGAAACCATTTCTTCTAAAG